GCATTATACGAATTTAATGAAAAATCTTCGATGCGTGTACTTAATTATAGTTCGTACTAACTTGATAAGGTGCTGGCAAATAGACGCCGCTATTCAAGGAAAGAAGGAAGACACATTTGACGAGCAGGGCCGCAAATACGAGGGCCGCTGGTAAACCGACTAGTCTGAAGGCTGCACAGGATAAAGGATTTTGACTGAGAGAAGCTGCAGCCGAAAGTCCGGCCAAAAGAAAGAGACCAAGTAACAAAGCTTGGCCTAGGAACAAGTGTCGTCTGTTTGGGGCTGCTGCTCTTGCCTGAAATTACATCGGAAATATCATATATTAAATATTTTCATGAGAAAGAAATAAAAAAAGAAAAAGAAAAAAAAAGAAAAAAAGTTCCTGTTGATTAAATCGGTCGTAATTATGCTATCTTTATCATCGATCTTAATTTGGTGTTCGAAGCATTATGCGTGATTCCGAGCAAGGTAAATAACGAATATGAAACGAGTAGGCGCCGTCTTGCTCCAGATTGTATACAGAGGAAGAATACACCATAATCGTAAGCAAATTAAATCGGATCGCTTTCTCAATGAGCGCATATTAATTTCTCTAATTATAATGAAGACAAAATTTAAACAAATACTTTATCTATAATTTATATGTATAAACAGATATATATATATAAATACGGTACACGCGCATACACATAGATTACTGCTCGTTCAGATCGAACAAGTAGCCGTAAAAGTTTCGAAAGTAATCGATAACTTCCTCAAACGACAAGAACGGTAACGAGATAGTAATGGTATGATAATAATAGAGCGTCTACGTCTGAGGAGCAATGTGTGATAGGGAAAGAAACTCGTTTTACTATCACGGCCTTTCCCGACTCGTTTGCTCGTGGCCCAATGGAGCGTGGCAATACGCAACCTAGACGACGAGACATGTCGAACATAGAAACATTCGACAAACTAGGCCTAGGTCTCGGCGAAATTCTCTTTATCGGGTCCGGATTATCGGAGCTTGTCGAAGAATTCTATCGAAAATAATATATATTACGAGAACTGTTTAAGATCAATGAAAAATCTCGGTCAAAATAATCTTATTTCTCAAGAACTCGATGTTCCTTCGTCTATGTCCGAAAACAATTGAAAAGTATTTTAAATGCTGGTAATTTCATTGCTACTGAGATTAGAAAAAAAAATAGAAAAGAAAAAATAATCATTTGTAAGTAGGATGAGAGAATATTAAAAAGTATCCATTAATGTTAAAGTTTAGAGCATTGACCAACCTTGAGGAGTACGAAAACCTCGAAACCAGCCATGAGTAGCATCGCTGCGGCACTTAGGGCTGCAAGGGGAAGAGCCCAAGGTCGTTGTCTGAGAAGGAAACGCGAGCTTGGCGGTCTACTGGATTCGGTTTCGCGTTCCTGGCCCTTCCTAGTAGGCATCCTGAAGACGGAGATGGTTCTGTTCGGTGCCGGTACGCTGATAACGCTGGCCACGCTTGCCAAACCATTTCTATCGACTGTATCTTCCGACGGTACAAGGAAGAATTCCGTTGATAATTCGTAATCCTTAGAATACGAAGGACTTCGGATGGCTTCAACAGAACCGAACAAGCTCGCCGTGGCACACGAAAGAAATATTGGACTTAGCCTCATGTCGAGACAAACTCTCCTTGTGTCCTCTTGTCACCGCTTCGTGTATCTTCTCCTACGCAATCGCATCCTTACGTATAAGGGATCGTCTTGTTTTCTTTTTCTCTGCCTCCGTAAGATTTTCTCTTTCCCAATCTCTGAAAATAGCGAACCAATCTGACATTCTGTTGTTTGAATTTTTTCTTTTTTTTTTTATTGTTTTTTTTTAATTTTTCATTTATTCAAACGTTCATCTTGTCGGTCACAATTACAACGACGACGTCAATGATGATAATAATGATGATTTTCACGAAGAACGTTTTCTTTAACAGACACGTAAATTAAAAGCACATGATTCGTAACGCCGATGAATAAACCAATGAAATTAACGTTCGACATGCTTGTTACCTGAAGAACTTAAATCTCCTATAATTTATGAGCCAGGGTACGAATAATAATAAGGAGTTTCACGCTAATACTTAAACGCACGCTATCGCGCCAAGGATGGATGCGTTGCAATAACCCGGTCATGATGATAAAACGACAAGAAAAGATCACCGGTTATAAAGATTCCCTAAGACTTATCAGCGGCCCGTAAAAAATACCTACATACGCGGGAAAGGAACGTTGTTGATAATCGTAAAACAAGTTTGAACGTAAGTAGAGTGGAGCGAGATCAAGGAAATAAATAAAGTTTAAAGGAAAAGTTGAAAGAAAGTGCGTGCAGATATCACGAAAGGTTTTTTTTTCTTTTCTCTAGTACGATTAACTAGTATGTGATATTATTTTGGAAATGATGTTTAACCTTTCTCTCTCTTTTTCCTTGCTTCTTCTTCTATCTCTTTTTCTCAGACAATTCTCCTCATCTTTGATAAAAAACGTGAAGAAACGGTCACGTGCATCCCCCGTCTTTGTCACTCATCAACTTGAAACGATTCTCCTCCAGTCGAATTTTCCCGCGCTTTTTTATCAATAAAAATAAAGGAACGATTCGTAGAAAATAATGTTATTTTAATTATCGATCGAATGAAAAGAAATTTTAATTGATACTTTTAGATCGGATGGAAAAAATACTGGTCAAATGATTCGAATATGCCGAGCATGGAGGAGGAGCTCGAGGTGCACGTTGCGAGAGGCACGTTCCTACTAAACCGCGAAGAACTCTCGAGGACGAAACTGGAAGCGTACTAGAGTTCCGTCCTGCGGAGGTGAAGCCTATCCGTTACAGAGGAACCAGGGAGATGGTGATGACGATGGGGCATAGTGATGGTGGTGGTGATGGTGATGGTGGAGGTGATGGTGGAGGTGGTGGTGGTAGTAACGCTGGTGTGGTGATGGTTTTGCCACGAACCAGGAGCGGATACTACCAATCTGTAAAGAAATCACAAAGGTAAAATTAGAAACGGACGTTACGACAAATTTCTAACACGTCAATGGATTCTTCATTTTTTTTTCTCTTTTTTTTTTACATTAGATAACTTCAATAAAAATTTGATTGACTCGCGATGTATTACTATTTTCATTTGAATTATAATCATCCATCTTTCGAAGAACCTGGATTTATGTAATATTCATATGCTGTAAAATTAGAAAAATTGTTTATCGTTTGTAGGATTTATTTAAAAATGTGATAAATACGCGATATATACTTTCACTGAAAGCACACGTTGTCTCGGATCAGTTGCGTCCCTGTAAAGAAAAGAGAGAATGCAGTATGGGGAATAAAGGAACGTAGGAGAAAGAGAGTTGCAGTTGGATAAAGAGAACGAGAGGAGTTGGTCCTCCGATGTCGAGGACCGGACTCTCAACGATGCATTTACATATCGGACATGTAATAACCTCGAAAAAGTATTAACAATGAATGCCCGAGGTTCGTCTCGGCTTGAACCAAGAAACGAACGAACGAACGAACGTACGAACGTACAAACGAACAAACGAAGAAAAAGATAGAAGGAGGAGTAGGAGGAGAAGAAAAGGACGGAGGACGATCGAACGTTGCGTTTAACGAACTCTGTAACTTCCAACGACGGTGTCGACGGACAGTCGAAATTCCATCGCAAAAAGTTGACGGGACGTCTTATTAGAAACGCCCTTTCTCATAATTGTCTCATATGCGAGAGATACAATTAAAAAAAAAAAAAAAGAAATAAAAAAAGAAAAAAAAAGAACGTAAAGATAAAAAATACAAAATAAGATACAGAATATCTTCAAAAGTAATTTCAACCTTGAAATTTTTACTCGTCCTCGGCTTTTTTTTCTATTTTAATAGAACGTGAAAAGATATTCGTTCTTCACAATCATTTCTAGTTACTGTTACTAGTTTTCTTTTTTATTTTTTTTTATCGTCAAATAAAACGCTCTACATACGATATCCTTGATAAAAAAAAAAAAATAAAAAAAAAAAGAATAAAATATAAAATCAGAATGAAACGTGGAACCAACAGCGTGCGTGTCTTTGGAGGGTTCTCTTTGAGGTCAAATCACGAGGATACACGTACGCATAGCGGTACGTTTCCTTTCGTTCTCGTAAGAAATTTCTGTGTACGTATGCTAAAGTCGATATATGTGGGCGCATTCACGTCATAGATCGACGATCTTACTCGTAAGTAAGTACTACGTAAGGAGACATTCGGTAGCTCTGCCGATCGAACCCTGCACTCGGAGTTCGACGAACCCTTTGTCTCGAAAACCGGACAAACCGTTTGCACATCGGTGCGGGTCTCGACTTCGTGATATCATGATACAGGCTGTTTCAAAGCTTCAAAAGTGCATAGATATTATGTTCATTTAATTTAATTACAAGATTTTCATTCGGACCATCATAACTGATCATTTTCATTGAAAACTTTCTTGATATAAGTTTCTTTTTGTCTTAAAATAATATTAAAATGAAATCTACGATCATTGTACTTCAGAAATTTGATTGCGAATATCTTATGCAATCTGATTGTGAGATAACATCGATGCCAGTGAAAATGTTTCGAGGAATTATTCAACATTCAAAAACGATCCCTTCGAGAACGAATTATACAATAAGTTTGAAGAGCAATGCGAAGCCACACCCGGTCACTTTCTCCACCAAAGCCAAAGTCATTCTTGTACCGTATAGTACCGTGCTTAATGACGCAAGCTACCCACGCGATCTAATGTAAGGTACGGTAAATCGTTTCCCTTTCACGTCTAAGTAAAAAGGATAGAATTTAGTTGCAAGCTTTTCAGCCTTTTAGATAACTTAAATTTAATTAAAGAAATTCTGGATTTCCAATGACCACCCACCACCCACCCACTTTCATTCATTCTCGTGTCTAATTGAGAAAATATTTAAAATGTGAAAACAAATCTATGGTTTAAGAAAACAAAAACTAATTTGTTTGTATTAAAAAATAATTGGAAAATGATTAAATACTTAAAAATAATAAATAAAAATATTTAAGATAACATAAAGTTATGTCTTGGATTACTCGAGTTTGTTTCCTTTAAAATACTTCGACGCAAAGTTATTCCATCTTTTTCTCTCACACGTGAAATTCCTCGGAGCGGGTACGCAAAGCCGAAAAGTTCGCGGTTGTACACCAAATCTCCGAGTTGCGCCATGTTATTGGGGACCAGTGAGCTCGATGCACGAGAAAGAAAGAGAGAAAAGCATTCGCTTGTAACCGGTTTCGACGAACTAAAGCTAAATAAAGTCATGTATGTACCAGGATGAACGGAGAATATCGTCGTACCAATAATTCTCATCTCGAAGAACAATGATAGATTTAGAAATCGAACTTAAATCCAACTAACTATTCTACAAGCTTTCTCAAACAGAATTACTTTGCCGATACTGCGAAAACAACTATCGTCTTGTCTTAAGAATTTTTTAAATTATTATATCTACTAATGTAAAATTAAATACGTCAAAATAACGAAAAGAAATGAAATTTTCAAACAAATTGTAACCAATATATGTACGCCTGAATTTTAGATAAAAGAAAGTCCAAATGAAATTTACTGATCAATATTATTTCATTATTACTGAGAAAACTTAACTACTACGATCTTGTTTCAAATATATTTTAATTACTATACTTATCTATTGAATTGAAATACGACAAAATAATGAATACAAACATATACGAATGAATGAATGAATGAATGAAGTGTTTAAGACGCGTTAAGATACAAATCTGTACGTCTAAATTCGAGATAAACAAAAAAGGATCCAACTCCAACAAAAAAGAGAAAATGGAACCACGCATATATTATTTTTATTCTCGAAACTTAACTCCTTTTGTCTTTTTGCTTCATCGAGCGCGATACGTTGATAAGTCGACCCTTCTACGACGATTCATTTGAATATAAATCCGGTTGTCTGCACTTGGCGTAAGGTACATGTGCGCAAAGGGCGACGGGAGAAAGAAGAGTTGGAAGAAGATAGGAACTAACCCTGTAGAGAAAAAGAGAAAGAAAAAAAGAAAAAAAGAAAGAGAGACAGAGAGAGAGACAGAAAAATATAAGAAGACTAACGTATACGCGTATGAACCAGAGAAAGAGAAAAATAGATGCATTTCTTTTTTTCTTTCCTTGTTTATTGTAACCACAAACTGCGGTGGTCGCTGCTCATGCAGGATGATATTTTTTCTTATCCTTATTTCAAGGAAGGGTTCGTCCTCTCGCATGAATCCTTGTATTGCTTTCTTTTTCTACTCTCTTTCGTTCTCTCGAGAAGAGTTAACCGAAATTCGGAGCCTAAATAAATACTCGTGCGATGACAGGACGCATTTTTGTTTAAAAAATCAAATAAAAACATTGTTGATACAAAAAAACAAAAGAAATAACGTAAGATATTATCGTGATTATTCAAAAACAAAACAAAAACAAATAAACAAAAAAAAAAAAGAGAAACCTTACAAGAGTATAAGAAATCTTCTTCATGAAACGTTATCTTCGTTGGCGACTTTAGTCCTTTTGGTTAAAAATTAAAGGGCGAAGGTTTAACCACAAAAGATCGTCTTCCCTATCTCCTAGCAGCGAAGGCGTAGACACGAGGTACTCTGAAACGTTTATGTTCGTACACGACGTTATATAGAAAGAAAGAGAGAGAAAATATACATGAAGCCCCTCCATGTTTCCACGTACGATTCGCATAAGCGTATAAACCACTTCGCGCACGTCCACGTGTACTCACGATGGAGTAACGATATTTATTATATATCGGGTATGAGTTATGGGCAGTTAACTTCGCGTTCGTGACGGGCCCTCCTTCCCGCCCCCCTCCCTATCGTGTGTAGTATGTACCCAAGGACCCATGCACATCTTCTATGCACTTACGAATAGTGAAAAGAATACCTTTTCTTATACTTATGGTCCTATTTCTTCTAACTCATTTTCTAATAAAATACAGAAGCTTATTTCAAGAAAATTTTATTCTTTTTTTATTTGTTCCCTCAGAAATGATTTATTTTACTACCGATTATATCATTCAAATACAATTGAATGAGTTTCTACAGAAGAAAGGTGTATGTTGTATTTTAGAAAATTTTTAAGAAATAGTACAAGTGGTTCATTACTCATTGTAGCGATTAAACAAGTTGCTGGTGTAACATACGCCTTTATTATACTTGTCAAAAAATTATGAATAATTTTCATATTTATATAATTTCCTCTGTTGTAATGAATAAATAATTATGTCAGGCATTTACATGTAAATTATAGTGAAATGTAACACGTAAAAACCCTTCTTCTAAATACTCGTTAAATATTTCCTAAAAAGAAAAAAAAGAAAAAAATTAATTTAAAGTAAGAAATGAATTGATACGTAATGCTACGTTAAAAGTAATA